AGGTAACAGTAGAATACAAGATGAGGATTTCGTCTTATGTAGGACTCTTTAGTTGGATATACTTGATTATTAAAGTTTATGCTTTTTTTGATGTTTGAACTCAGTCTCTGATCATGTTATCCACTTAGCGATTGAGTACAGATAATCAATGATTTGTGAAATGGGATGTATTTTCATTCATTCTTATTTGATTGTTTGAATCTTCATCAACACTTTAGGATACTTGTTATTTAGTAATGATATCAAAGCATTCCGCATACGATGCCCATATATCAACATATATACCAAGTGGAAGATGCAAATAACCAATAAGGACATTTCGGTCAATTGGAGATGGTATTACTCTATAGTGACTTAGTATCAGTCAATGAGCCAGTAACAACGTAGAACTTCATACGTACGTACGTACGTACGTACATGAGTTCAAGTTATTATACTATAGAACACAGAGATACAATTGTCGATTCAAATCCCATAGTGGTAGAGGTAGTAAAAGTATAAGCAGTAATCGGAAAGATCGGGGTTTGGAGATGTTATTCAAGGAGTATAATACAGTGAAATAAATTTGGAAAGAAAAATGAAGGGACATGAAGAATTCGGAAGACTAGAATGTGGGAGAACACAAAGAGTGGATGCACCTGCGCCATTGCAAACGATTTTGAGCCAATATCACTCGAGGTCCCTAACCATCGGTTGATATTGTCTCCCGGATCCCAACTAGGTAGTCTACACCCACCAACATGACTCAGTTCACTTGTCAGTTACTTCATGGATTTGTGCCATCTTTTGGTCTGGCCGCCCCTAGCTTTCTTCCAACCTACTCTTACACCATAAAACACCGCACGTTGGGGCAGTCGGTGGTTGGGCATACGTAGCACATGTCCTAGTCATCTCAATTGATGAAGTTTCTTTACTTCATCAATTGGTTTGCCATGCTTACCTAGTACCCGTTTCCTAACAACTGTATTACTCACTCGGTGTTTTCAGATTGTTAGTATAGATTGAATTAAGCACCATCACATGAAGTGACAACTATATCATCTTAAAACTACTAGTTTACATTGCAAAGTTCTGTCAATAAATGGTGATTTTCAACTTGTCATTGAATCCATGTTCTAATGAGAATAATTTGAACAGAGAATCCACCTTGAATTAAATAACAAAGCTAAACTTGACCTTTCTATAGAAAAAATGAATCATACTACGATGTGATGATCCTGTATTCGATTCTCACGCACAGAGTCGCGCAAAGTCATACTGCTGAGGAGTTCCATTGTGATTGTTTTTAGTGAGTATAGGCTTTCAATAGTGATCTAGCTAAGATTAGGTCATAGTTTCAATTATAAAAATCATATATTCTGCACAAATCTGCTACACTAAAAAAGATGAACTCTTAAAAATCTCTGTGATTATAACTAACAACATCTCCGACGTATCTTCGAACAGTCTTATTTGAACTTATTCAATAAAATAATTACAAAAGAGTAAATCAGATCAATGAAGGTACTACATTCATTGAAAAAATAAAAGAAAATCAAGTTCGAAAAGATTAAACTCTTACCAAAGGTTCTCCCCTTCAGTACTATTTCACTATTTTTACAGCGATGAAACTAAAGACCTTTATCCTCCTCAATTATTATTTAATCACTAATCGGTCAATGTTAGACCACCACTGTTAACCTGGAAGCATTAGAAGACTGTTTCGCCCTAATATGAGACTCCTCAGCAGTACGCATACACAATCCTGCACACAAGATTTGAACCCAAGACCTTCGGTCTCGCGCGTTAACGCTTAACCTCTAGACCAATGAGCTGGCCGATATCCAACGATCTCAATGTCTAACCTCAACCAATCCACGAAATTCTGTGACCATCTTCCATTGTATTGAGGTAGATACCTGTCTCTAGCTGACATGGATTAACTCCAACGGTCACGGCTTCTCAATCAATAGATTAATAATCTCCGCAATCTCATACTGATAACAGCCTTATTTACTTGATTAATGCATATGTACCCTGATAAGTTCGGCTTATAACTGTCAAATTAATTAACCGATATGTTACTAAAGATAACAGAATCATACATGGTAATTGATTTTAGTATAATTTGTGTACATGTTTATATGCATCGCTTCATTTACTACAATCTGAATACAGTTTGTATCAAATTAGTCATATTTAGTTCTTTTAAAATCTTAAAGACCCAACAATACAACATAGTCAGACAATTGTATAATGCATGATTGTGGGGACGGCCCACAGGTGAACTCAAGAAAGCTCTAAGAAGCTCAGAAAGAGCCGAAGATAATTCATCTAAATATCTTTTGGATAAACAATCGAGAATACACATTTCAGAAAACATCAAACTGCATCACAAGGCAAGCGCCTAACTTGGAATCCTGAAAGGAAACTGAAAAGAGGAGGACCATACTTGTCTGGAATTGGAAGCAACTAGGAAAAGAATGAATAACGACTAGAAAGAAAAGGAAAGGTTTGTCCAGGACAGATTTGAATGAAGAATTCCAGTGAGCGGTCTATGCTTCTCCACGAAGGTTAAAAAGTCTAAGTAAGTAATCATTTATTATGAAGTTCTAATATAAATTTGCTTAACCTGATTACATGGTCTGAATTTATGACAACATTAATTGTTTCACTAAGCATTCTTGTGAGGACGGCTGACGAGTGAACTCAAGGAAGCTCTAAGATTCTCAGAAAGATTCAAAGACATTTCATTCAATCATCTTTTAGAAGAACATTCCAGAATCTCAATGTGTAACTTCCCTAATGAATAAATGTTAAAACACCACTGCATGAGGATTGAATGACTATGATGACGATTAGGCTTTTACTTAAACCTACATTTACCTTAGAGTTTTGTACCATATTTCACACTGTTTACAACAGTATTCTTTATCAATCGTCTTTTGTCTCTTCATTTTGCAACTTTGGAGGTTCTAGCATTCATGTTCTGAAGTAGTACGCAGTATATCAAGAATCTAAACTCTAGTTATAACGACGGTTGTCTTATAATCTGAGACCAGACCGAAGCAGGTGGTTTTCTCAGGGGGGGCCACACTCAGAGCCTTCGAGCTAAAGATCTGATCCACTAGGTAGTGGAGCATCGTAAACAGACTCAGTCCCATAGTAGTCGGTGAACCACAATTGGTTCATACGCCATCATTGTTCCTTCACGATCCTGGAGTCCATGTTTACCATTGTTTTGAAACCAAGGTTTTTCAACTCCCCTAGATGGATCCTCCGTATCCACCAACCCAATTAAAGCCCGTGCTGAACATTTGCTTTTGGTCCTCTCAATCTCGTTAAAAACACCCGTAATGCGAGATTGTGACAAAGGACTACGGGTGAACTCGAGGAAGCTGTAAGAGGCTCAGAAGAAGCCGAAGATTTTCGTTCCAATCACATTTCGGAAGAATATTCTAGAATTCTTACGTGTAACTTCACGATTAGACAATGCTGATAACCCCCTGAATGCGGATTAGAGAACTGTAATGATGATTTCATTCTTCCTAAACAGAAGTATAAATACCTGACAATTTTGTACTATAATTGACACTATTGGGAATAATATTCCTTTCATTAGTCTTCTGTCTTCTTTTTACAACTTGGAAGAGTTATGGCGTTCTAGTGCTAACGTTATACCACGGTATATCAAGAAAAACAACTATCTGGATATAACAGAGATGGAAGTGAGTAGGATGTCTATGGTAATGATTATATGCATGTTGTATCCCGATAAGTATAATGAATGGTAATTTTTAGGATCCATTTATGAACCGATATTACGAGTATATTTTTATCGTATAATTATTATGTAACTAATCTGTTCATATCCATGTCTTATTTTGACTTATGAACTATTATTATGCGATTTATCATTCTTGAATTATACCCAGTAGATTAATTACTACCTCCCTTATTCACAGCCACATCTGGCTGATTCTTCTATAAATTATCAGAAGGGGTTTTGTGGAGATTGTAGTAATTTCATTGATTAAGATCATGAGTCGGTTGAAGCTAGACCACCATGGAAAACCTGAAAGCACTAGACGGCCGTTTCGTCCTATTATGGGACTGCTCAGCAGTGCGCATCCACGACCTCGCCCCCTGCGAGACTCGAACCCAGGACCTACTGGCTTCGTGCGCGAGCACTTAACCACTAGACCACTGTTGTTGTGGTCTATTATTTGATTAGTAATATAAACTCAGTACATTTGACATATAATGATTTATATCTCTGAAGCTATGATTTGTGTTCTGAACTCAACTAGTTAGGTTAGATAAGAAAGTAGGACTAATCAGAATTCTAAACTGCTCACATATATTTTATAAATCACTATTTCGATCAATAATTCACTATTCCCCAATCAGTGGATCACAAGTGATAACAATTGGCAACAAGGTGAAAACAAACAAACAAACAAACAAACAAAGAACCTAAAATACAAAATCACAAGATATAACAGAGATGGAAGTGAATAGGATGTCTATGGTAATGATTATATGCATGTTGTATCCCGATAAGTATAATGAATGGTGAGAAGTAGTGACCAGTGGAGTTCAACAAGGTCTGTTGTGGGATAGAAACTCACTGAAAACAATGGTGGATGTGTCGCTCGATTTCGTCGATTAGTTGAAGTTAGACATGAACAACGTTGGATGCCGGCTCAGTCGTCTAGTGGTTAAGTGCTCGCGCGCGAAACCAGTAGGTCCTGGGTTCGAATCTCGCAGGGGGCGAGGTCGTGGATGCGCACTGCTGAGGAGTCCCACAATAGAACGAAACGGCCGTCCAGTGCTTCCAGGTTTTCCATGGTGGTCTAGTTTCAACTGACTCATGATCTTAATGATTGAAATCACTACAATCTCCACAAAACCCCTTCAGATATAACAATGTATAATGGTTATTCATAGCAACAATGTTAAACCATTCCATTCTATTCCATATAGAAATATAAATAAGTTATATAAATAAATTAACTTACTTTATTAAATGCTCCAATACTTCTTGAACCAGCATCATTAAACATTCTTGAATGTAATAATAATGTACGTAATGCTAAATATAAACGACCTAACATTGGTAATATTAATAATAAATATGGACTAAAATGATCACTTAATTGATGTAATGAATAATTACGTTTATAATTTATAGAATTAGTTACTGGGAAAGAATGATTAAAAAATAAATCAATACCAGGAAATGGATGAATAGAACAAATCAATAATTCTGTAATAATTTGTATAATTCTATGCTTAGTAACACATATTCTCCAATCTTTAGTATATTCTTCACATAGAAACACCTTGATAAATGAAGAAAAGAAAAAAAGGAAAAGAGAAAAAAGAAAAAAGAAGAAGAACCATTGATATGAATGAATGATGTAATACTATAGAGATAATTAAGAAAATTACATTGAGCATTATTATTTGGGTTTAATAATGGAATAGGTGTGTGGGTCTACGATGAAACGGAATTGAGTTGTACATCATTATTATCATATGATAGAATAATGAGATGGTCGTCTAATGCTGACAGGTTTTCTATGGTGGTCTAGTTTTAATTGATTTATGAACTCAATATTCATAAAACTATCGAACTGTGTCACAAGACAAGTCATCATATGGAATGGTCAAAGCCAAATGAGGAAAAGAGGTAAACTGGTACCAACGAATGATGTAATACTATAGAGATAATTAAGAAAATTACATTGAGCATTATTATTCGGGTTTAATGATTGAGTAGTGTCTGGTTCTCCGGTGAAATGATGTTGAACTGTACTTATTGAGTTAAGTTTCAGTGATATCTGGCTCTGTTGTGAAACGGAATTGAGTTGTACATGATTATTGTCATATGATAGAATAATGAGATGGTCGTCTTATGCTGAAAGGTTTTCTATGATGATCTAGTTTTAATTGATTTATGAACTCAATTATTATAACTTGTGAATATGTGTGCCCTGTTTATTGTATAAGGCAACGATACCGCAAATCAGAGAGTAGCGAATTATCGATTGAACCAGTGACGCCTAAAACTCATGTGAGCAGTCTAGAGTTCTTATCAGTCATGCTTTCTGTCTAACTCAGCCAGTTATGTCCAGAACACCACTTTTATCCTCCATAATATGAGTCATGCATTTCAAACATACTGGATTTATATAGCAACCAAACAAAGCATATCGTACCGATAAAATAGGAAACAATATTTGTACAGGAATTAGCCAGATGTGGTTTTAAATGTGGGAGAAAGTCATTGATTGACTAGGCATAACTTAAGAACGGTAAATCGTAGAATAATAGTTCATAGGTCAAACTAAGGCTTATAATAAGAGGAATATGAATATGAACAGTTTAGTTACATAACAATTATACGATAAAAGTATACGCATAGTATTAGTCCGGAAATAGACCTCAACAGTTACCATTCATTATTCTTATCGGGATATAACACCTCCTCTATTTAAAAATCCGGAATGATCCTCCCCCACGAAACAGTGCTGGATCTTCATGTTCCCAAGTTACAATTAAATTAACTTTATTTAAAACGCATTTGTCACATTAAACAAAGGATTTACTAAAAGTGAGTAAATGGTGAAGATCTACGATGCTTGATATGAGGTTAACAAAGTTTGATTCTCCTGAAACATTGTCATCGAATTTCTTGAAAATCTCATCAGTAGATAGTTGATTACAAGAATAATCAGTATCTATCAAAATTTTTATTATAATATCCATAAAACCACCCAATTTCTTCACAAGGCAAGCCCTCACTTGGAATCCACAGGGCCAAAGGAGAAGAAAAAAGCCAAAGAACATAATACGTCAAGAAATGGCGACAGATATGAGAAGGATGAACAAAAATTGGATAGAACTGGAAAATAAGGTCCAGGAGAGAGTGAGTTAGAGAATGCTGTTGAGCGTCCTATGCTCCATTGGGAGTAATAGGCCTAACTAAGTAAGTTTGACCGACGTTAGACAGCTTAAAATGGAACTATGATCAATGGCGGTAGATAGATATGTGGAACGATATTGGATACAATGTCAATTAAATTCTTCTTCCTAATTAATGAATACTAAAAATGTGAACTATATTACTGATATAATCATTGAATAATATACATAAAGAGTATTATCGACTTACCATTATATCATATGTATGATAGCATATTATAAGTAGTAGAAGAATAATTGTTGAAAAAGTAATCAAGATTCGCATCGTTGTTGAATATATACTATTCTATAGGAATGATTGAAGGGAAAAGATAGTGGAAATCAAAGAATAAATAGGTACTATTCTGAACTTAATATTCAAATGTTATAATACATAGAGTATTTGAAGTGAAAGAGAAAAGAACAAGGCTCAAGTCTTAGTATTGAACTGTTTTTATATTCAATGAATGAGTATAAAAGGTCGTTTGACTTACCTCAACTTATGTCACCACCTATGGCGAAGATGAGATATCCATCTGTCAGTTAAGGGATGAGTATACTGTGAGGTAGCACGTTTTGTTCTAATTTATGGCTGCGAAATGTAGCCATTAACATCATTTATCACAACGCGAAATGCTGATTAATGTTGGGGACGGTGAGAAGAAAGTTAGGGGCGATCAAACTAAAACGTGACATCTGTGCTTGAAGTCACTAACTTCTAGTCTGAGTCAAGTTGGTAGATGCAGATGAATTGGTTGGGGTCCTCGTGACTATCGTAACCAATGGTTGGAGACTTTGAGTGACATGGCTCAGAATCGACCACAGTGGTATCGGTGTATACACTCTCTGTCTTCCCTTAAACTAAGAGATTACAAAATCGCTTCATATCTTTCTTTCTACGAACTAAATCTTTCTTCCCATACTATCTCCTTATATGCAATCTTTCTTTTATATATTACCACCATTAACTTAAGCACTCCTATGAATCCGGTGTTCATCTTGTTGTGCTAATGCGGTATGGCAAATTGGACCGATGCATGTATGTGCCTGGTCCTACGTTGTAGCTGAATGACTAAACTGACTGATGAGTATAAAGTAGGACGAAACAATCAATTAGATCTCATTGCTAGCCATTGTTAAATGCTAATTGTAAATCCTTATCATTTAATGTCTATTTCGAAGCAATTCATATAGGATATTTAAAAAGCCAATAGTGGTTGTACGTTACAATCTTAAGCATTGACAATCGTAAGATTCAATATACATAAGTGAGTTAATATTATGCTTGCTTTATATATTTGATAATAATTGGTATCACAAAGTGAATTAAACTTGAATAGTTTTCTCATTTTATTCAACATCTTATCATTTAGACTGTTTACACTTACAGGGCCAATGAAATGTCACTGAAACTTAGCTAAATCATCCTGCAGTTGGATCACTGAATATCGATCAGATCATCAATCCCTTTCAATGTCGAGAACAACAAACGTGCATCAGTTGTTTGTATGCCATGAACTGGCCCATACTTGAATGGTCTCTTTATCTTATATGTACTCATTCTTACTGATATATTTCTGTAATAGCGTCCTTTGTGTCGTACGGTGTTCAAAACATCCATAGTATCTTGATACGACGAAAGGATAATCCACGTTCAATGCTGACCACTAGGCGTGATTTCGATGTTAGCTGTCAGTCACAGCATCTTTGTCTAACTCGAGTAGGCCTCCAATCATTCGACAGAGATAACCAACTTTAATATTAGAATGTTAGGGCTTATCAGACATTGGTACGTGATATTATTGATCTGTCAACTGAATAGAAATTTTTTCGAACACTTGGTATCAGGTCTTTTTTTATTATTATTCAGGTAAACAAAAAGCTAACGTATTTGAGTAGATAAAAGGAACAATAGGGACCGAAATGCGTCATTAATATCTGATATTTCAGAATCGTTTTCTTTGTTTACTTGTCTATCCATTATTCTTTCTCACCTTCTATCTTCCCTTCTTTCTTTCTTCCTCTCTACGTATCCTAATAATGGTTTTCGTAACGGTTTCAACAGTCTGTTTGTTTCTTCAATCTACCTGTTATTTTATTTATAATTACGTTTATGGGGTTAAATTATAAATCATGATGATAATAATGATTGTGTTCACAAGTGACTGGTTTTAAGAGGTATTTCTTGGAGTTCTAGTGGGAATCTGTGATCAGAGGAGTTTAACCGGGTCTGTTGTGAAACAATAAGTCACTGAAGATAATATTGAACAGTCGCGCAATTTCGTGAATTGATTGAAATTAGGCTTTAATACCGTTGGATGATGGCTAACTGATCTAGAGTTTAAGTGTTCATGCGCGTGACCGAAGGCCTTAGGTTCGAGTCCCAAGTGGATGTGCACTGCTGATGAGCCCCATACTATGATGAAACGACCGTCCAATGCTTTCAGGCTTAGGTTCAAATTAACTCATGAATTGAACTATTGGAAATTATCCCAATCCACAATAACCATATTCTGAAAGTACACTTTTACTAAAATTCATTCATCAAATTAGACAATTTCCTACATAAACTGAGTTACATCAGTTGACCTGAACTTGAATTTCATCATGTACTTCTGTATAACCAAACCAATTGTTCTAAGTTGACTAAACACTAATTTTATATTTAATTAGTGGAGTAGAACAATCATTGATTAGATAAGAATTGTTAAATAGGTTGCTTGATATCTTGTAAATGTACTTAATGCATTTTGAATTATCAGAAAGGAGTACACACAAATTCCTTAGTACGATCAAGGGTAGAGAGAGAGAGAGAGAGTCCACTCTCCCTCTCCAAAAGCTCTCACAAGAACACGTGTTTACAGCCACTGTCAAGGAAGTCCTAATCACTGACTATTCGCACTACAGACGAATAGCGAATGTTTGGCAAGGGTTTTAATCGAGCCGGTGGATATGGAGAGTCGACCTATGGGAGTATTCTGAAAGAAACAAATAGTGTATGAATGAATCGTTGGTCTCCGTCTACTATGAAACCTCATCTGTTTACATTGCTCCACTACTTTGTCGATCAGATCGTTAGGTCGAAGGCTCCGGGAAGAGCACCCGGTCAGTATCACAACCTACTTACAAATCAAGTGACCTGTATGGCATATATGTATATATATATATATATATATATATATATATATTCCGGTGCCCGTTTCTTACCACCAATATGTATATATTCAAATAAATAATCTAAGATAGAAATAAACAAACTATCACTTACTTTATTATACAATGATCTTGAAATGAATTCAATATCAAGAAATGCTGCCAATATACCAAATATACTAAATGCTAATGCAAAATCAGCCATTCTTCTACGACTTTCTAATAGACGACGCCTTCTACCAAGATGATAACCAATACCTTTAGATAATTTATCAGTGAAACGACGTTCTTTTTTAAATTTATTAGAGAATAATAAATTTTTATTCATTTCATTATTGAATGTTTCTTTTAATGGATCTAAATGATCATTGGATTGAATCTTTTCAATAGATGTTTTACTTTTTTTCAGCATAGGACTACCATCATTATTATCATTATCATCATCATCACCGTTATCATCACCATGAATAGGGTTTGTATGATCTAGCATATCATTTAGATTATTCTTCTTTGAATGAATTGTAGATGATCCAGAACTATTCCTGAAAGGCGATATATATATATATATATATATATATATATATATATATATATATATATATATATATATATATATAAAGACATAAAGAGTGAATGTGGATGTGGATGTGAAATGTTCATTGTTCAATATAATACATTGAGGATCAGAATTTACCTGGAATATATTGTTTGTTCAGTTATTAGAATAGTATTATAGTGAATGAGAACATTTCATAATGAAATCTAACACTCAATAGTTAAGTGAATAATGAGATTACAATTGAAATGAACGGTATTGTGTTCGAGTTCCACAATGAACACCAAGTTCTGTAATGCAGGTACATTCAGTTAACGAATTTTAATTAGGATGAAATGATTCTTGTCCTTTAAATTGTTTTTTATTTCAAAAATGCATTTTATATAACTAATCTTTTGTGTTACTGTAATAAACGAGAACACGTAAGGGGGACAATCAAATGTACTTGAACACAAACAGAATCACTTAGTAAAATCTAAGAACCATACAGTAAGTGCTTCATGTACAAAATGCCAGTCAATTGTCTTAAACTTCATTGTTCTTTCGTTTCCACACCAATCATTCTCTGTCCTCGTTCTCTTCTCTTTTGTCATCTTAACCTTCTCTGCCTCCAAGTATTTCACTTTCGATTGATGATACATACTACTTATATCTGTCGACATAAGTAGCAAACATACAGCAGTATGAATTTGATTTGAAATTTCCTTTTTTTAGTTCTTTGAATTTGTCATATTCGTTTTGTCAACTGAGTGATTAATTTCAATGGTTGAAATCATAATTCAATTGAAGCTAGACCACCATGGAAAACCTGGAAGTACTGGATGGCCGACTGATAGGTCCTGCGTTCAAATCTTACGAGGCGGGATCGTGGATGTGAGCTTCTGAGGAGTCTCACACTAGGACGAATTAGACTTTCAATGTTTCTAAGTTTTCCATGGTGGTCTAACTTCAATTGACTCATGATCTCAACTATTAGAATTATTATAATATCCACAAACCCCTTCTGATATTAATCAATATATGCTCACTAGTGACTGGAATGGAGAAGTATTTCCTGGAGTTCTAGTGAAACCTCTAACCAATGCAGTTCAACCTGGTCTGTTGTGAAATAATAACTCACTGATGACAATAGTGAATGTGTTGCTCAATTTCGTGGATTATTTGAAGTTAGACATTAACATCGCTGGTAGATACCGGCCGGCTCAGTGGTCTAGACGTTAAACATTCGCGCGCAAGACCGATAGATCCTGGGTTCGAATCCCGCAGACGTAGGTAGGGTGATGGGGAGAGAAAGAGTTTAATTTATCATACCAAACATATAATATTGAATAAAGCCAATAATAATAATAATTCCACGGTTTTTTTTCTCTTTTTTTCTGTTTGAAAAAATCTTTCCTAAAGTTTCTTTCCTTCTTTTTTTTCAATTTGCACGCATTTTGTTTTAATTTGTCACGAACCAAAGTGAATCGTTCGACCCCATAACATAACAACAAAGAAACAAACAAACAAAAAATAACAAAAACGCATTTACAAAATATTGGATATTGATTCATTAAATAAATATTGACACATAAACTATACCATTGAAATTATATCTAAGTGGGAGGTTGGGGGGCAAAGAGTGAGGGGGGGTGAAGGACATTTACTTTTTATCATTAATGTACATGAAAAAAAATTAAAAAAATATTAATGTCAACTCTTTTTTTCTATTTAAGGAAAAAAATAGAAAGAAAATAGTTTGACCCTTTAATTCATTCAACCATTTCATTGTATCAATCAGATTTTTTCACAGATTTATAAAGAAACAAAAAGGGAAAAAATACGAAGAAAATCAGAAAGACAGAGAGAGAGAGAGAGAGAGAGTGGGAGTGGGAGGGAAAGAGGTAGATAGGGTGATGGGGAGAGAAAGAGTTTAATTTATTATAAAGAATGACATGCCCTAGTAACTGTGATTATATAAGAATTACAATGATTCATTGGAAGAATAACTATTACATTTGAAATCTTTTAAAATGGTATATAGAATAGAATAGAAAGATAATGTGTTAAAGTATAAGTAATTGGCAATATGGATTTTTTACACTTTTACCTTAGTTACAACGAAATACATTTTACTGGTTTAATTCATGAATCCATTGAAGCTAGACCACCATGGAAAACCTGGAAGCACTGGACGGCCGTTTCGTCCTAGTATGGGACTCCTCAGCAGTGCGCATCCACGATCCCGCTCCTCGCGAAATTCGAACCCAGGACCTATCAGTCTCGCGCCAGGCGCTTAACCAACTAGACCACTGAGCCGGCATCCAACGGTGTTAATGTCTAACTTCAACCAATCCACGAAGTTGCACCACCGTTTTAATAATAAGTAAATATATGACTTATTAAAGTTAATTATAATTTGAAAGTGAAGTTGAGTCGATTTAATCTAGACCATTTAGGAACCAATTAGATGATTTGTACTTCATAGATGATCTAGATCTACTATTTCATAAATACCAATTAAATGTAGATGATGTAGCAGTAGTCTTTATATAATTACGTTTCAACATACACTAAGGAAAAAAACAAGATCCTCAAATACAACAAGGTGAACACTAACTAAATCATACATGATGGCGAAAGTCTGGAAGATGTGGAATATTTCACATATCTGGAAAGCATCATCGATGAACAAGAAGGATCTGATGCAGATGTAAAGGCAAGAGCTGCATTGCTACAATTGATGAACATATGCAACTCAAAACAACAGTCTATCAACCAATATCAAAGTCAGAATCTTCAATACGAATGTCAAGATACTTCGATTGTATAAAGCTGAATCTTGGAGAACTACTACAAACATCACCAAGAAGGTACAAGTATTTATAAATAATTGTTTACACAAGATACTCAACATACATTGGCTGGATACTATCAACAACAGTGTACTGTGAGAGAGAACAAACCAACTTCCAACTGAAGAGGAAATTATGAAAAGATGATGGAAATGGATAGGATATACATTACACAAATCACCAAACTGCATCACGAGGAAAATACTAACTTGGAATCCTGAAGGGAAGCGGGAAATAAGAAAGCCAAAGAACACATTACGTCTGGAAATAGAAGCAGATATGAAAAAGCTGGGACGTATTGCTCAATTCACGGTTGGATGGAGAGTGCTGATGGGCGGACTACGCTCCTCCACGAAGAGTAACAGACGTAAGTAAATAAGTAAGTAAGTAAGTAATCACGGGTTTAATTCTTTATGAATCCTATCATTACAAAAATTGTATTATTCGGTCCTATATTTATGATTGTTTCAGTACATAGATAAATAAATGATATATATATATATATATATATATATATATATATATATATATATATATATATATATATATATAATAGATTTGATTATTTAACTCTAGTGAGCTCATGATAAGATGGTCGACTAATGTCCTGGTTTGATTAAGGTTAGAATTGTATATCACTGGATATCAGTACAGTAGTTTAGAGTGTAAGTGCTTGCTGTCTTGATTGTAACCCATATATTATTTAATAAAGAACCTGGATACATGATACCGTCATTCTCTTGGATTTTGGTAGTTAGACAAACGCTAAGTTTTACTTTTAAAGTAAACTAAAGTGAGACTATAATTTATGGACAAGCTTTGAGTAACACTAGACTGAACTTCAAAGTGTCCACCTAGTAACTAGGATCAAATGAGGGTTATAAACCAGTGTGAGAAATTAGAATTACAGTTGATGGTTAGGAATAGAGATTAGATTTAGGGTTCTCATCACGAATTGACTTCAGCTATAATGCTAAAACTCTGTTTATCCAAATGGATGAGTGAATTTCATGCTAAAATCCGAGACCTGTTATCTTATACGTGATTGGTTCATCCATAAATTATAGTCTCATCCTTTTGGCCTTCCTCCTCTACCATTCCCTTCAGGATTCCAAGTTAGGGCATGCTTCGTGATTTAGTTTGATGACTTGCTCAATGTGTGTCCTATCTACTTCTAACTGGAAATTGGTTTGTTCTCTCCCATAGTAATTTGTTGCTGATAATATCCGGTCAACGGACATTGAATAACTTATGTACACAACTGTTTATAAATACCTGTACTTTCGACGATGTTTGTTATAATTCCCTACGTTTCAGCTTCCTCCAAGTGTGGACTTACCATGTGATGCATTTGGGTGCTTTCCTCAATTTATGTCTTATCCACTTCCAGCACTTCTTCCTGATTTCTTACTCCGCTGGGATCTGATTTGTTCTCTCCCATAGTAGGTTGTTGTTGATAGTGTCTGGTCAACGAATCCGAAGTATTTTGGGTAGACATCTGTCAATAAACACTTTTATCTTCTGGATGATAGCTTGGGTAGTTCTCCAAGTTTCTACCCCATACATTAGAACTGTCTTGACATTTGTATTGAAAATTCTGACCTTGGTGTTGGTTGACACTTGTTTTGAGTTCCAGATGTTCTTCAGTTGTAGATATGATATTCTTGATTTGGCGATCCCTGCATTTACATCTGCATCAGATCCAACGTGTTCATCAATACTGCTGCCCAGATACATCTTCCAAATCTTCTTCGTCAAGTGTGATTCGATTGTTGCATGTAGTGTTGTATCAGAGAATCTTGCTTTCCCCTTTTTGTATGTTAAAACCTACTGCTGCTGAATTTTCTTCCACACTGGTCGTCTTCTCCGGCATTTTTTGTTGTATGTGCGATAGAAGAGCCAGATCATCTTTGAAGTTTAGATCGTCCACTATATCTCATTCTTCCCCATTCAGATGTTGACGTCTTCATGATCCAGTCAATCACCAGGAGAAAGAGAAATGATGACAGTAAGCATCCTTGCTTGACACCGGTCTTTACTTCAAACGAGTTTATCAATTGTCTTCCATCCACAATTTTTCTAGTTTAATCCATCATATGAACTCCTTATGTTATTGACTATCTTCTAAGGCAAACCGTAGTGTCTAAGAACCTTTCATAGTCTTGTTCTGTCTACGCTATCAAGTACTTTCTCATAAGAAAACTAAAAGATGAAAATATATCTTAATATACTACATTTATTTGTGTAAATATAACTTACAATTTAGATATACCAATTTCATTATTATTATTATTATTATTATTATTATTATTATCATTATATTGATTACATGTATGTGTTGTTATCATATCTTGTCTACTCTGTAATATCATAGATACTCTTCTTATTCTTAATGATAATTCACCATCACTACTTAAACTTTTATTGATTTGTGGTAATTTTGGTACATGTAATGATATAATATTCATTGAATCTAATTGATTTCCTATTGATGATTTTCTTTCATTATATTGAGAATTTGGTAATGTTAAATTGGTTGAATGATATTTTGAAGAAAGTTTTTGATTCTAGAAAGAAAAAAAAAAGTGAAAAAAGAAAAAGATGAAATCAATTCATAAATCAATAGACAATAACATTGTTGGATACTAGTTAGATTAGTGATCTAAGTGATTAAATGATTGCAAAAGTCCTGGGTTCGAATCTTGTAAGATGGGATTGTGGATATGCATTACTAAGGAGTCTCATACTAGGATGATGCTTCCAGGTTTTCCATGGTAGTTTAGCTTTAATTGATTCATGAAATCAACAATTAAGATATTTATGAAAAGAACCAATTAGATTTAAGATAAGAGATCTCGGATTTTTTGCGTGAAATTCATTCATCCATTTGGTTAAAGAGTGTTTTGGCATTATAGCTAATGTCAGTTCATGATGAAAACCTTTACATCTAATTTCTATCCGTAACCATCAATTGTAAATCTTAATCTTTATTCTTCAAACTGTTTTAGAACTCTCATTTAGTACTAGTTGCTAGGTGAACATTCTGAAGGTCACTTTAACGTCACTCAAAGGTCGTCCTTAATTTATAGTGTCAGCGAATTACCACTAAACAACTGAAGTTATACAGACATTTTAAAGAAAGTGATTTATAAAGCTTTTAAAATCGATAAATAATAAAGTACTTTGACGCGAAATCACTAACATTATCGCGTTCCATAAATACATAGAACATCATTAAAACTGATGCCCACGAATGTACTGGTACGGTCGAGAATGGAGTGAGATTTCTCTTACTCTCCAAATGTTCTCACATAGCCACGGATATACAGCCACTACCAAGGAATTCCTACTCACTGCCTTCTTCCATCACAGGTGTTGTTTACAAATTTTCAGGGGACGAAAAACGAATGTCCATCAGGAGTTTTGATCGAGTCGGTTGATATGAAGGGTTCACCTAGGGGAGTTAAAAAAACCCTCATTCCAAACCATTGGTACACATTGACTTCAAGATCCTGAAGGGACTGGTTACCACAGGACTGCATCTACTACTCTGTGATTTATTATGATAATCTCGTAATATTGTGTGTGCTACTGATTTCGACAGATATAATTAGTATGTATCATTAATCGAAAGTGAAATGACTGGTGTCAGAATGTTAAGAAGATTGACGAGAAGAAAACGAGAACAGTGAATGACTGGTGTGGTAATGAAGAAACAATTAAATCTGAGACATTTCATAAACAGTTTGCAAATGAACTATTTACTGTATGATTATCAGATTTTACAAAGAAATTCTGTAATGTTGTATTCAAACACATTCGATTGTTCCCAGTTGTGTTCTCGTTCACTACATTGCTACTGCTACTACTACCACACACACACACACACACACAAGCACACATACACACAACATACATACAGTCACAGAAACGAATAAACACAATTGGTTTTTTTTTTCACAGACAAAGCAATTGAAACATTCAACGGAATGAAAAAAACTACAAAAACAAAATACCGCATTACCATTATCGACTGTACGAAACTCTTTCCTGTTTTAAATAGCTATGTTTTTTGTTGTTTTTTTTATCATTTTTATGATTATAATGAAGCTCAAACAAACATTCGGTTGCCATGGCTGAACATTCGTTATGTGTTCTTTATAGACATACATAGAAACAAAAAGTTTTTTTTCTTTTTTTTTTTTTACGATTAAAATTTAATTCGAATCAAACTGAAATACAAGTGAAAATGTTACAGTTTGGTTGTTTTAATGAATTACATAAAGGGAAATTATTCAATAATTGATTGTATTGTTTAATAAGGAGTGTTAGCATTGGACATACAAAATATTTCTTCTGTACATCACTACTGATACATTCCTACTAGTACTACTACCACTACGACTACTACTACTACGACTACTACTACTACTACTACTACTAGTACTAGTACTAGTACTACTACTACTACTACTACTACTACTACTACTACTACTACTACTACTACTACTACTACTACTACCACTACGACTACGACTACTACGACTACTACTACTACTGCTACTACCAATACTACTACTACGACTACTACTACTACTAGTACTACTACCACTACGACTACGACTACTACGACTACTACTACTACTGCTACTACCAATACTACTACTACTACTACTACCAATACTACTACTACGACTACTACTACTACTACTACTACTAGTACTAGTACTAGTACTACTACTACTACTACTACTACTACTACTACTACTACTACTACTACCACTACGACTACGACTACTACGACTACTACTACTACTGCTACTACCAATACTACTACTACGACTACTACTACTACTAGTACTACTACCACTACGACTACGACTACTACGACTACTACTACTACTGCTACTACCAATACTACTACTACTACTACTACCAATACTACTACTACGACTACTACTACTACTACTACTACTACTACTACTACCACTACTACTACTACTACTACTACAAAACAGCAGTTCAGATTTAAATATTCAGATATTAGTATGAACATTTTATAATTATGAAACACTATCGTCTAGTGATAATATTAAGACATTGTTTGCATTTAATTCATCGTTGAGAAGGATCTGAAATGTCTTGATTGTAACCCATATACTACTTAATATAGAACCTGGATGCTTGATGACGTCATTCTCTTGGTTTTTGGTGGTTAGACAAAAGCAAGATTTTAGCTTTAAAGTAAACTTGGGTGACACTATAATTTATGGACGACCATTGAGCGTTGCTTAACTGGCTTTGAGAGTGTCCACTTGATAACTATGATCAAATGAGGGTTATAAACCTGTGTGAGAAATTAGAATTACAGTTGATAGTTAAGGATAGGGAGTAGATCTAAGGTTTTCATCACGAATTGACATCAACTAGAATGTTAAAACTCTGTTTATCCAAATGAATGAGTGAATTTCACGTCAAAATCCGAGACCTGTTATTTTATACGTGATTGGTTCATCCATAAATTATAGCCTCACACTTTCGCCTTCTTTTTCTACGTTTCTTTTCAGGATTCCAAATTAGGGCATACTTAATGATGCAGTTTGATGATTTGCTAAATGTGTGTCCTATCCACTCCCAACGACGACGACGACCACTACCACTACTATTATACACACACATACATTCACAGCGAAATATAAACACAATTATAAGCAAAGACGGATTGTAGCTAGCAGTGGAATTGTGATTCACGCTCATTTCACCCCATTTGGGACTCTTCAGCTAAATGTATCTGCATCTTAGTCTTGTAGATATTCACCCTGAGACTCGAACTCAGTACCGTTCGCTTTAAATGCCATTGCGCTTTCCATTTCACCAGTGAATCATGATAGCCATTTGTTTGTGCAATAGGGTAAAGTGAATATAAACAAAATTGTTTTTTTTTTCAAAGACAAAGTAGCTGAAAGATTCAACTGAATAAACACCAACTTGTTTATATATATAATTTTTTTTAATTGTTCACTTGTTAAATTTATGGCGAAATAACCAAGGAGTTGTGATTTAATTAAAGAAAATTTATATATTAGTTCTCAATGTTATATTGAAATGATTGGATTTATTAATGGTAATATTCTGTGATATTGGACTACTGTTTTCTCCTAGTGTGGAACTCCACAGAGGTATACGTTCACGATTCCGCATTCGGGACTCCTGACTAGGAGCATCGATTTTGTGCGCAAGTTTGTGAATGAATCTTCCGGTGTTCTAAGGTTTTCGATGGTGATCACTCATGAATTCAACTGATTAAATGCTACGATCTCTACAAATCCCCATATCGATAATAAGCATGTGCACATTAGTAACTAGCTTCAAGATGGATTTTTGGAGTTCTGTTGAGAAAGCATGACTAGTGAAGTTCATTGAGTTTCATGTGGAGAGAGTCATTCAACTCAGATAATGAATGAAAGGTTGTGCAAGGTCATGAGTCTTTTAAAGTTATACACTAACACCGTTGGATACCGGCTCAGTGGTCTAGAAGTCAAGCGTTGTCGTGTGAGTCCAGAGGTCCCGGGTTCGAGTGCTCGAGTATGACATCGTGAATGTGAACATTTGGGAAGTCTCATACTAGGACGAAACAATTGTCTAGTGCTTTCAGGATTTAAATGATGGTCTAACTAAGATGATGTTGTTCAGGAGAACGATGATAGCTGCACAACCAACTTCTATAAATCTCTTATCATACATACGCGTAATGAACGAGAACATCAAGTGAGGACAATCGAACGTACTTGAATACAAAATTACACAATCTCTTAGTAATGTCTAAGAACCTTACAATAATTGCATCATGTACAACATGTCAGTCAATCGTCCCAAAATTGATTGTTCCTTTGTTTCCACACCAATCATTCATTGTTCTCGTTCTTTTTTCCTCAATCTTCTTAATCTCCTACCATCAGAAATTTCACTTTCGATTAATGATATATACTACTTATATCTGTCAACATCAGTAGCACACACAACAATACTACTATATTATAAACATTTTTGTCGTACCTGTATTTGTGAACAGAAATGAACTTATTCATAAGAAAAAGGCAAAAAATCATGAAGTTTTCAGCGATGAAGTGATAGATCAATAATGTCAAATGGCTGATCAGATTTATAGTTGTTTGATGAGAATAATTGCACAATTACATAACCTAACTTGGAATCCTGAAGGGAAGCGGAAAAGAAGAAGGCTAAAGAACTCAATACGTTGAGAAATAGAGGAAAAACAGGCGTAAGCAAGTAAGTATAAACTGATCGCTCTTAATCAATTAAAAAAGGTAGTCATAATATTTTGACATTAAATAGATAAATAGATAGATAGATAGATAGATAGATAGATAGATAGATAGATAGATAGATAGATAGATAGATAGATAGATAGATAGATAGATAGATAGATAGATAGATAGATAGATAGATAGATAGATAGATAGATAGATAGATAGATAGATGTGAGATAGATAGATAGATAGATAGATAGATGTGTGGATAGATAGATAGATAGATGTGTGGATAG